ACATACATACATACATACATACATACATACATACATACATTTCCAGAGCTTCATTGATTTGAAGAGCCGTGAAAAAGAACAGTTGTATATAGTGCAACCCAATGGTGCCATCTTGTACCTAAATAAATACTGCACAAAATGGATCGAACAGCAAATTTCCATCCCTCGCCTGAAATGCACATCTCCAATCTTCAAGGACAGAGAAGGACAAGTATACCTAGAACCTGAATGATCTCTATCTATTTGGGACCACCAACCACCCAAAACATGGTCCAACTTCCGAAGAAACAACAAAAACGTCTGCCCACGGGTCATGTCTGGGTTCCGGTGTGTTCTCGCCGATCGACCCCCCCCCAGAGCCGGAACAACGCGGGCGCGCTCCACCGGCTCCACCTCGCTTCGAGGTATCACACGGCGGTGTTAAGCACCGGTGGTGGGGGGCACCCAGCAGGGCGTTTTCTTTGGTTGGGCGACCGGCTTCGGGTGTCTCTAGGGTGTGGAAAAGTCAAAACGAGATAGTCCTTGAGATTCTTCAAGAACTAATTGTGCGGATGTTTTACAAAATGATTAATATTATGGTTCTACACACAACATATCCCCAAAAATGGTTCTATGATATTTGTTCAGAATGAATCTTTTGACATGTGTGTTTTGACATGTACATTTTTTTTCAGAGTTGTTCCTTACTATATATGTTTCCTTTTTCATCATTCTTTTTGGATACACATCATCTATGAATATCCCCGCCCAGGCGCCGCTTTCACCTTTGGCGACGGACTCTCGGGGCAGCTGGGGCGCCGGCCCGAGGAAGGCAGCGAAGGCGGGGAAGGTGAGGACTGGGAGACTCCAGGCTAGCAACAGGAAGCTCCTAGCTAGGACGCAGGATAGCTCGCACTAATGATATGATTCCTATATAGTTCCTATATATATTTTTTGGAACTTAAACTTTATGTTATTTTGACATATATTGACCAAACTTCGACGGGGTAAGACAGGAAGATTCAGATCCGGGACGTCGCTTAACTCTTCCGTTTTTCACGTCGCAACAAACTGGGTGCCGTTTTGGGTTTGATGGGAAAAGTGCGGCATTTGGGGCGAAAAACTTTCGAGCGGGTTATGATGTACATTCCATGTGCTTGCATGGATTGTCCACATCAAATCCGTGGACAAACACGTTCTCGCAATTGCTCGCATGCCTTGGCCTTCCATTCTTTCGGAACGACGACCAGAAACATGCATCGAACTCCGCATTCAAGAAGATATAAAAACCTCTGTCTCCTCCAATCCAGTCGGTGGTGTCTCGTCATCGTCGTCATCTTCGTCGCTGTACATACTGAGACCTACCTGGAACTGGAAAAGCGTTTTCTCGAGGAAACCCATTTGGACACAATACTGCAAGAGGGGCAGGGACAGTCCACACCACTGCGACGGACGGGTCCCTGTCTCTGGCGGTGCAAGAAGAACTTCAATGGTTCGCTGCGACCAGCAGTGCGATCCATGAAGGTTTGGTGTGCCCATGATCCACACTGAGGGACTCAACACCACCCCGAGCTCTGTGACGCTTCGAGGTGTCAACAAGGGTCTGTCGGGTGATTCAGGCAGTCAAACCAGGGCGCCCCGAAGACGATTCGAGGTGATTTCTGGAAGTCCACCACCCCAACCACAGTCAGTCCATGACCGTCCAAACCCCGTCCTTGTCGTCTGTCCGGTTCGGTAACGGACCGGAGCTCGTGTGTCGTCGGAAGCCGCTGGTGTTCGGCTTCACCGAAGAGTGTCGGTTTAGAGGTCGTTGTCTCGGATGCACTGAATTCCAGCCAGCGGATTGTTTGGTGGTCTTACGTGAAGAGTTCAGTTAGTTTGAAACTTGCGACCTCGGTGGTTTGCTAGGTGACACTGTTTGATAGGTAAAGACGAGTCTGATTGGTTATAGGTTATAGATGGCTTATCATTTATAAGAGTGTATATATATTATATATATAATACATGTATATACTTTGCCCCAATGAATGTGTATGTAGCTGCGGCATTGTGCGAGTCTACGGCAGGTCCACAAAACCGGATGGTTTTTGGTCGTTGTGTACAGAATCTCATCCTTTGCGTCTGTCCGAACTGACCTGTAACAGTCAGTAAACAAGAACATCACTATTTTCGAACAAGGCCTGCAACTGAACCACCATCATCCACGAATAGTCCCTGCGTGTCTGGGATAGACCCAACTCATCCGAATTTTGACCGGTCGTTTTCGGCGCGAATCGAAACGCGCTTTCGGATTTCCGCAGGTTGGAAGCCGACCCAAGTCACGGCCTTTCCGGAGGGTGTGCAAAGCAGCCTACTGGTTCAGGCTGTTTCTGGAGCAGTTTGAGAGGCTGAGATCAAGAATTGCCTTGCATTGGCATCCATGCTTCCACTTTTTATCCTTGGGAGGGATCTACCCCGTAGCATAGCCACTCGCATAGCCAAGACCCAAGTCGATTGAGAACCATTTAGCAGTTGCACTTCCCTATCCTGTCAAAGCCATGACTCTTTAGCTGTCAAAGCCGTTTGGTGCATGACCCCCGATCTGTGGAACCCGTGCGGAACCCGGTCGCCGTGGAAGAAAACACCGGCTTCTTCGAACGAAGCGGCTACGCCCTCGAAGCCAGGTGGCGTGTGGAGACGACCACACGATCTGCCTCACAGAGTTCGGGCAACTACTCACCTTCGGCGGAGGAGCGGAGTAGGAGGGATGAAGATGGCGCCTGTTGATCGGGTGGATGTTGGATGATGTTGGCTGTCTTCTGTTTCTTTCAAAAGATGATAGTTCTTAAGCGCCATTCGAGTTGCACTGTCTATACTGCCTATAGGTGCGCGCGAGAGAGAGAGAGAGAGAGAGTCTGCCAAGACGAGACCCTGAAGGTGGTGGAAGTTGCGACCGACCGGAGAGCCGAAATCGAAATTCTTGCCAAACCTTTGGGGGTGTTGTTTCTGCCTTTTCAGATGCACATTCTCCGGCACAAGCCCGGAGCATGGAATTGACCCAACTGGTTAGAATTTGTTTCGGTCATGGAATTCAAGACCTCACAACACCCTCCCACTAGGAAGGGGTTTGGGTTTAGCAGTTGAAGTGCGGACTTGGTGAAGTGTTTTCCCAGCGACATGGGTTGTCTCACTTCACAGAGCCAGATTTGCGGTCCTCGTACCAGGTTTTTCCGTTCCAAAGATTCCGTCGTCGCTCCCCCCGCTCATCCCTCGAACTTGACACATTGACATCTTGGTGAATCGGGTGGTGGACCTGAGACATCTTGACGCGTCATCGAGGTGAGCAGGGCCAGCTGTGCATGGGAGGTGTGGAGCGGTCGAAGAGTGACAGTCCAGGCTGTGAGAATGCCTTGAGACCCGTTCAAGTGGGTGGACATTCCAACAGAGGTTGAGTCAACCTGAACGTTCGGATCCTGTAGTGGTACATATGGGATGGGCTAGGATGGGCTGTTCAACCTCTCTTGGTTCCCAAGAAGTGGGGATTGAACAACGAGAATGAGCCCGCCGTATGGAACAGCCACTTGCAAGGACAGAAGATCCCATCATCGGGTAGAGTCAATGGAACCATGGAACCTGATATTAGACCCCTGGCCCAATTGAAGATTGCCCATTCCTCCACAAAGCAACACCTGTAAATCATTGTAAACCCAAGCAACCAGAAACAAATGGTTGTTCCGAGATGGCAATTGAGATCCCGACCATGACCCCCACACATTATTATTCCATGTGCCAGCCACCAGGCTGCCGTAGCCATCGCCTGCCAGCTCTGGTGCGGCAAATGCATGGTGTGCGGGAGGCCGGCGTGATGTTCAGAGGCTTTTTTGCTGGTTTGTTGCTTTTCAATGAGGAAAGCATGGGACATCCCTGAAAACCCGCCCAAAAAATTCATTCGGAGGGCCCCACCCCACCCCAGGACGCACCAAGAATCTACATTGTGATCCCTGGAGGGCAGTCTCACCATCCTGAGATGGCTTGATCTTCATCCCCTTCAAACCATGAACCCATAGGGTGTCCAATGATCCTACTGGAACTCATCAAGAACCATATATAGAGAAAAGATGAGTAATCCCGAGTACCGAGTACCTATTTCAAAACACTACCCATGCTGGAGACCCTAAATACAGTTTATGTTTGTAAAACTACTTCCTAAAACAAACACATCTACAAAGTATAAAAAATAACGTTTCATTGGAAAGAGCCTGTTTTCAAAAATTAACAAAAGCAAAAAACAAGTCAAAAAAGTCAATCCCAAAAGTCAAAGTCAAAACATAGTTAAATCAGAAAGTTTCAGAAAGTAAAAACAGCCAATTTGCCCAGATCCGACTTTTTTCCGACTTTTTTTTTGACTTTTTATCGATGTTTTTTAATATATATATATATTTTTTAAAACGACTTTTTTTTCCGATTGTTTGTTTTTCGACCTTTTTTTTGACTTTTCGAGTGGTTGACCTTTTTTGTATGTTTTTTTTTTTTTAATTAAACTTTTTTACTATTTTTTCTCTTTTTCGAGTTGTTTTTTGAATTTGACATTTTTTTGATTGTTTTTTCTTTTTTCGACTTGTTTGACTTTTCTTTTTGCTTTTTCGAGTTGTGGTCTATGGTTGACTTTTTTCGACTTTCTTTTTTGACTTCTTTTTTGACTTTTAAATTTGACTTTTTGTTTGATTTTGACTTTTCCAGTTGACTTTTTTCTTGACGTTTTTTTTCGACTTTTTAAAAATCAAGGATTCAGGCCTTACCATATGAAAGTTTTTTTAAAAATACATCTACAAACAAACAACATCTACAAACAACATATTTATGTTGGAAGATGTTAGAAGAAACAGTAGGTACCCACCCTCTAGAAACACCACCAATGGTGCCCCTCACTGGCGCCACGCAAACGCACTTCTTTCCACCAAGGCCGCGCAAACAGCATGGCAAAGTGACATCACCTTTCGAAATCTTTACTTGTTAGTTTGCAGACGAAAAGTTTACAAGGGAAAGATATCGAAACATCATTATTTTAATAAAGGGTTTTTGTAAAGGGAAAGCCCTTCGATCTTTGAGTTTATTATTATTTATTTTTGCAATTTTGATACGAGTTTAATAAAGGATTTTACATTGCAGGTCTCCTATTTTGGGGACCCCTACTAACAAAAACGATGCTGGAGTCTTTTCATTAGGGATGGAGGGGGGCGTGTTTTTGAAGAGGTGGAAGGGATTAGAGATGTCAAGTGAACCGTTCTCCGAATTCGCTTTCGCCCTCGCGAACGGTCCATCCTCGGACCGATGCTGCCGGAATCGCCGGAACGAAGTGGCCCACGGATCGCCACGGTGCCGTGCCACCGAATTGACCAAGAGCTGACCTGGTGAGTTTCGGAGACGTTGAGGTTTATCCTGTTTCAAGACCTCTGACAGTCTGACCAATACTTGCTTAAGTGAGTTGAGGCCACCAACCAGAAAACCATTTGCTCGCGAGGTGACGATGAAGCTGCCGCAAAAATTGCCGGTGGTACGCGGTTCATGTCGCGACCGACTGAAACTCGATGGAGTAGTTGATATCGTTTACGGATGGTAAGGGGAGATGTCAGTGGACTAAGCCTCTTCATTTTCTTGATGCCTAGCGGCTCTGAGGTTTGCTCCAACCACAGCTCTTCATCATATCAAAAGATATATAATATAACGACTATATAATAATTACTATATAATATACCCGTTGCTACCGACAATCCAAAATGGGTGTGGTTAAGCATGCTTTTATCTTTTTAAGTTGTTCATTTAGTATAAGAACAACACAACATGACCTTTGTATAATTTTGTTGGAAGGTAAATAATTTTGTTGGAAGGTAAAAGGTTTGCTCAATCAAACTATACTGTATATTTTGAAGCCAGATTTTCCAGACCCATTTTAGATATCTCATTCAACCAAGACATTTTTTGAACTTAAGGACTTGAAACACCTTTGTTCTGTTACAATTTCAAAAAACGACAATTGAATAAACTGAGCGTGCATCCACCTCTATTCTTGGTAGCAAAGGGGATGTTGATTCGGATCTATGGGCAACCAACGATACCAAACGCTTTGAGCTCAGAAAAGCCAAATCCACCATCGACGACCAGGTCGTGGCTGGCGGCCATTGGACCTTGCTCCGCTGCGGCGAACGGAAGGCGAGAAACGACACCGGCTGATCCCGGCAGTGAGGGAGATGCTCATTCCAAAACTTCTAGTCTAGGTTTCTAGTCATTCCGACATGGATACACCCCAGATTTGGAAAAAGCCTTTAAGAAGACAGTTCCCCCAAAGTAGCAGCCTTTTAGAGGTTCGGGCAGAAAAAAACAATGCCTACACTGGTGCTTTATCTCTAAGTTTCAGCCGACACTGAAGGCCGCAAGGCCGCAAGGATGCTTTGTGTTCATCATCATTGCACGTCTGTGATTTTTTTAAGACAGTGTGTTCGGAAAAGGCGTCTTGTCACGCGGCAAAAAGGCTTTCTTTTTTTGTCACGTGGCCCCAAAAAGGGTTTCCAGAAGACTGAAGACCACAACTTTCACACTATATAGATCGAATCAAGGTTTGGGCATTTGGAATGTACTATGTTGAGCCAAACCGTCAAAATCCAAGAAGGCAGAAAAGATACAAAAGGCGGTTCTCAGTGAGAAGGCTCATAAAGCCTTTAAAGACTCGGGCTGAAATAAACACCTGCGCAAGATCTATAGGTATAGGATAGTATATATAGGTATCAAGTTTTGGCTCAAAGTTATTGAAAACAAACACAAACACATTTTCTATATCCTCAGATTCAGATTACCAACAGTCTTGTGCTTCAAACAATATAGCGTAGACCTCTGATATAGTTTCTGATTGTAGCCAATCCCATGCAAATGGAATATTGGTTGTAGTGATTTCAGAGTGAATCACACAGTCAACCACCAGTTGGGTGGTTGATAAGACCTCTCATCTAAACAGAGGCTGTTGGGTTTGTACCATAAAACCCGAAACAGCCAAGGATCCCTCACCCGAAACGCCAGCTTCGCCATCCATTGCACTGGCTTCATCGTGCAGACGGTTGGGCGGGTGTAATCCAAAAGATGGGACAAATCGAAAGAACGTCCAAGAACCCAAGGGTTACATGGGTCCATTTTAACCACCTCTTGGTGATTGTGCCATCTACTCTGAAACCACTGTAGATTCCACAAAAAAATCTAGAGCCTCAGAGCGGGTTGATTCCGCGTTCGGTGGGTCCATGGACAGACGATCTTCCAGATAGAAACAGGCCTTCTTTTTTTCCACGTGCGTTATACCATGTATCACCAGGCTGATGTTTTCGTCTTTTCGTGCGGGCTCAAAGAGGTCTTCTTCGCCGGTCGCCCCACCCTGCGCGAAGGCAGGCGGACCACCGGCGGTGTCACCGATGTTTCGTGAGCGACGGAGGGTTTGTTGTGATGAAAGCTGGTCGATGGCAGCATAGTGACCGGTCCCCAGATAGTGGCATGCATTCCAAAGCATTTTTAGTGTGGATCGACTTGTCTATTTATCTATTTAGGGGTCTATATAATAACCAGATTGAGTACAGTCATGGCAAACAGTGGGTTCACTTTGGTAGCTTTGAATCGGGAGCTTCATGGGGCTCCAAAAAATGCAATCCTGACAACCCTGCATATTCCAGGTGGTTGGTTTGTGTGCATCCAGGCTTGTTTGCACCGAAGGGTGAACTGCTCAGCTGCAGATTTTCCGGCTTAATTAACACATTCTCCTCTGAAGTTATGCAACCAGGTACCTGGCTTACCGCCAAAAGCATTCGGTGAATCAGTGAACCAGGACCTTTTCGGAACCGTCACTCGTGCTTTGCTTCGCCGTGCCCGAAACGGCTTTCAGCCGTCACTCGTGAGCCGAGGTCACTCCGAAGAGGAGGCACCTCCGATCGTCCACGATGACAGGTTGATGCGGTGTGCCCATGGGTCCCGGTGGGGTCCCGGTGAATCAAGTTCCTGTGCGATGGGGGTACCACGGCAGAGTCGTACCAAGACTGCGCCGGTTGGGCTTATTGGGGCCGAGCTCGGAGCTCGGTGCTCGGTGCTCGTTTGATGTGTGCGATGGTGCCAAGTGAGCCGACTTCGGTCGCTCGGTGCTCGTTCCGACTCGAGCCTCGCAGAACTGTGTTGCATCGGTGAGAGGACTGCGCGATGCGTGAGAGGACGGCATCCTGGGGGTTCACACCGATCCTTTTTTGAGAGAGAGAGAGAGAGATACGTGTAATGACGTAGATTTCAGCACCTCAGTGAATCCTCGTTGCACATGGTCTTGAGCATTGTTTCCCGATTCTGTAGGATCACACCCCTCGGCTTCCAAAAGGAACAACCGGATGAACCATGTGGGACTTAAGCCGAGCATGTGGGACCCTGCCTAACCAACGGCACAGCCGGTTTCTTTCCAACAGAGGTTAAGTGACCTGAACTAGGACCCTACCAGGGTACCGGACTGGGATAGCCTAGTTCGGGTTCTTCAACCTCTGTTTCTTTTGTAAAGGCCCCATGTGGGGATCCAAGCCGAAGACGCCCAGAGGAATCGATGTCCAGCTCGTCTCAGGCCGTGGATCATCGACTCCTCAGGCGATGTGTGGTGTGGCTGCCGGGGGTGGCCCGCGGGGTCCCGCGGGGTCCAGAGCTTTCTTGGCAGGTTGAAAGCATTGGGCCCTGCTAGGGTCTGAACTGGAAATGGGGTCTCAAGTCATCTGAACTCCAGAATGAGGCCTATAGGTAGGGTGCGGCCCATTACCAGCAATAGTCGGTCAAGGATGATCACTTTGCTTGAGAAAGGCCTGCAACCTACTAACCATTGTCATCCACTGTTACTGGTAATGGGATATACCCCGAGCTGCGGTGGAGTCCTAGGGAGACTGCAGACACCCCAAGAATTGGCATGGACGAGTGAATCGGAAGAGGGCCTCCTGCTCGCGCCGGTGAGCTCTGACCTCGCCTTCTTGACCGGCCGCCTCTCGGTGAGGGGACATCTTCCCACACGACAGCCCCAGCTTCGGAGGGGTATGTATCCTATGTATAGACTTGGTTTTGCTTAGGGATGAGGTTCTTTTCCCTCTGGGCCTATGTGGTTTTTCCAGTTCCTGGACTTCAAGAAGATGTTTTCGCCTGGAAAGAGGAGCGCCAAATTAGGACGGGCCGCGTCATTGTTTTCCTTCTCGCCTGAAGGGGTTTCGGTTCGTGTTGTGAAGCCGATTTGCTCGACCCTGCATGTATTGCTGTGAAACAACCGAGCAGATCCAATCGTGGCAGGCAAATCGTGGCCTGAGGGTGATATTTTGTCGACCGAGTCTGTGAGGAAATGCGCGAGACATGGCATGTTTCAGCGAAGTGGAAGGGTTGCTCACTAAGTAAGGGATACTAAGTAAGGGATGCAGATCTAGGGAAGAAAGATTGGTACAATCTGTGCTTGGTACATATGTTGTGTGTGCTGAGAGTCATGAGCCTGTTGCGTGATATGCCCAACTTATCGCTTGTATCACTGTGTCACTCACGTTTTATAGACCACGTTAAAACTCCTCAGAAGGGGGCTTCGGCATCCATTTGGTTGACACTCAGCCTATCTCAGTCTCAGCTTTTTCTCCCAGATCTAGTTTTTTCGGGAACAACTGACCACAGAGCAACGCGGTGTGTTTGCATTCCAATGATTAAATTATCCCCGCGCCCATGAACACTTTGACCTGAAAGGCAGAAGCTGTCAACAGGACGGCTGCGGCAAAGTTCCGCTCAGGCAATGTCTATAATAGATGTGATTGGAACCTGCATGTCTTCGTGGGTAGCAACACCGAATAAAACCTCTAATGGGGTGGTTGATAGAGACGAGCTGCAGGAAAAACCCAGAAAAAGTTCTACAAGCCAACGTAGAACAGAAGACGCTGCTTGGCGATGCGTTGCATCCGCTCAAATCCATATGAATCCTATAATAATGATGACCGCGGAGATCGATATTTCCCTGCAATCGCTTCCGTCTATCCAAACATGAAAGTGGAACACTAGGCTACTAGTATAGCAATGGCGGAAGACTTAATCAGTGCAAATCTCTCTTGGTTAGAAAGTCCGATTTTAGACCCAGCCAGATTGTAGTAATAGAAGCCCAGCCCACCAGGCAGTCCCACATGAGTTTTGGTTTTCTTGAGGCTTGGGAGAAGACGAAGTCAGGACACCGGTTCGTGCAAGTCAGGACATCGTTTTGACAAAGTCACCAACTGCAGATTCCAAGAGCATGAGCGATGGTCTTCCAAAAGGAAGCACACCATGTATCATGATGGCCTTGTTTGAAGGCGAAAAGAGCAATTCTAGAAGGGACCAGTAGGGCCAAGGGACTCGGAATCTGGGGCTCCGGACTCCAAGGTCTAAATCATGATAATCAGCTCCTGGACCTGGCCGCACCTCCTGGGACCTGGAGGAGGTCTTTGGGGGTCCAAGTTCACTGGGAGAGTTTGTAGCTCAGCTGGTCGTTGATGGCGAATTCACCCGTGTTCTGCATGGGGCTGGGTGAAGACGGTGAAGGTGTTGTTGATGTCCTCCAGATCGAGAAGACTTGTGGGTAGAATCATTACATCATCATACATCATCTAGAGTAAAATCTTGGAGGTTGTTTCGACCACTTTTGGGCGCTTCCACTTCCTACAATTCCATGTCCACTCAAATCTCATGAGATTCTGGAGACGCTCAAGATCTGCCAAGACACCCTGGGATCCGGGTAGAATGTTCTCCATCACCTCCACGTTTGGTTGTTGTTTGTGACGCTCCCTTTGCTTTGTGGGAGCTTCGAGTTGGGCCCCCTCACTCTTCCTCGTGTTCTGCAGCTGCTTTTAGCTTGTAGCCGAAGAAAGCAGGCCAAGGGATGAATCAAGACAACCTGCTCATCATCAACCTGCACTTCCAGCTTCACAGGATCTGATCTGGCGAGGGGAAGCAACAAGGAGGATACATGGGTTCCTTACGTGACAACCTCACCTTTATAGTTCAAGAAGGACCTTCATGAAGGTTCAAGAAGGACCTTCATGAAGGGATCGAGCTGGGGGTTTTGCGCCCTACGACTTGTTCCTTTACCAGCCCACCGGTGCAAGAGACCGGACCCACCGGAAAGCCCCCCGAGTCACTGTGCCGCGCGATGGAGGCAGATCTTCAGGCGATGTTTGGTGGTGTAGCCATGCCTTCGGATTGGTGTAGCTGTGCTTGGAGCTCCGGCAGATCTGAGCTCTTGAAGAACTATGACTCGAACATGGGTGAGGAAGCCTTTGACCATTGAATTTACACCCCAATTCTGAGAGTTTATCAGCTGTATCAGGGTTTGCCGGGAGTATTCCAGCGTGTCATGTGTGTAGTGGTGCGCATTTGGGTGCCTTTCTCATCGGTTGGTTGCTGCTCTTTGTTTTAGCACGTCGCTTTCAAGCTGAGTGTGAACCAAACAGACCAAAATATACGAGTGGCGTCCACAATGTGATTTCTTGGAACCTTCACTCCTGTTTTGGAATAGCCATTCCTTCAGTTGCACCCATTTTTGAGGTCCAGAATTCCGGATCATCATCCGGACGCCACCAAAGACCTCAGACCATAGACTGGACCGGAGAACATTGGACCGGACGTTACCTACCATCGGCCGCTTCCGACCTATGGAAGTACCAATCCCGATCCAAAGAGTAGACACGAACCTGAGGCTACGACGATGCGACGTTGGTTTCTTTGGAATAGACCTTTGAAGCAAATGGAGTTCAATGCATTGAATGATAAGGACTTCCTGGACCGATGAGGGCGACATACTCCGTAAAGCGAGTTGGAGCTGTTGTTGTTGTTGTTGTTGTTGTGGGTGGTTGTTCAGTCCTATTTCTATTTCTTGCTGTTTTCATTGCGTCGTTTTTCCGTGTTACATCTCAGCCCAGTGCTGTCCCACAGTGGTGCATGTCTTGGACGCGCTATGACACGCTGAGCGGCAGGATGGTGAGCAGATCTCTGCGGACATCCCCATGCTGGTGCGCGCGCGATGGCGCGCGCAATGATCACGCCCGATCGCACGTGCGAAGTGGGCTGTTGAGCCGGGCGGTGTCCGATTTGCGATGGTTCGTGGAGCTGGGCATTGTTCTGGTCTTCGGATGCTGTGTCACTTCACTGAAATTTGTCTAGAATGTTTCATGCTCTTGGGCCACCGCAACTGGTTTGGCCACTTTGGTTCCATCAACTAGAGACCTCAGAGACTGCAAGATGTTTTCTTTTCAAGACTTGCATCCGTTTCGGCCACCATTGTTCTCAGAGACGTGGGCCTTTCGCTCTCCAGCTTCGCCAGCGCATCATGCTGGCCTGTGCTGTGATCCTCTTGGAAGCCCTTGTGGCCAGATTTTTGGAGCCCGGGGCCCCAGGGCCGTCCCCCACGGGTCTTCCGTTTCACGGAGGAAGACGTGGTTCTAGGCGCCATCTGGGTGCGATCTTTCGGGCAACGGCTGTGATGCGATGAGAGCAACTGGTGACGGAGGTACCCTGCCCCGACGGGCGTCGTGGATGAACGCCCTTGGTTGACGTCAGTGAGAACGGAAGTTCTGGGAGATTACATGCCCGGTCCAGTTTCCGGGATGACACCCAAGTAAATTCAAGACAAGGCTTGAAACCTTTTGACACCATTGGAAATTGGATGAAGTTGCTCCAACACGTGCAAGAGACATGAATGTGGCGACATGAATGTGGCGACTGATGGTTGTGGGCGATTGCCGGTGTTCACTTTTGAGTGATTTTGAATGTGGATTTCGAGTGACCCTCCAACCCCGGAAGCTTCGACGAGGAAGCGTGCACACGGTCTAAGCCCATTTGGGGGGTCTCCACACTGCATCGTGAAAAACGGGTCTTCTGCCAACATTGGACATCCTGAAGATCCCAGATTGGAATTGTTGGGAGCCACATGGAGCCACGAGAACAGTCTGAGAAGTCCTTGATTCGTAGTGTCACTAAAGCTCGCTGGTTTAGGTAACATGAGCATCCAAACAGATTCCTCATGCTTAACCAATTGAGTAGATGCTTGGTACATACTATCTTCATCTATCTTCCTATCCACAGCGGTTTCACTTCCCTCGCTTTCTCGGCCTCTGAGGCTGGGGAATGCAGATCAACTCTTGATCTCTGGAGCTGGGGCCTTACATATCTTACATATTGTTTTGGCTTTCGTTGATCGTGGTGGGAACGAGTTCCACCGCGGTTTGGTTTTCGATTCTTGATTCAGGGCAGTACGACGGTACGACGTCCGCCGGTACGCGTTTTGGTTCACTGGTCTTCCCGACCCACCGAGATCCCGAGTCGGCCATGCGGGCCATGCGGGTCGACTCCTGGTAGACTTGGGGTTGTCACAGCCATGTAATAAGTCAACTGAAGAATAAGCTGCCAGAAGAATCTCTTCTGACTGCAAGAAACAAAAGAAACAACAATCAATCATCATCAAACCATTTGGTTGTTTTTTGGGGGAACACCAGAGCTATCAAGAGTTCCAACACTCCCCATATTGCTGTGGTTCCATCAGGTTTCGTCTTTACCTCCAACGATTGGCATCGCTTGCTTCTGCCCTCCACTACCCAACGCGGCGCCGTCAACGAACGGGACGACCAGCTGGTCGACGCCGCAGCTGTCTCAGGTGAGATGCTTCGTTCAACTGTCGGGTGGGGGGCGCCGGGCGCGAAGCGCAAGCAGCCCGGGAGGATGATCATTGACAGAAGACACACGTGAGCCACAAGCGAGCGATTGACTGAAGACATTGATTCGTAGCTTATTTGTGACTATGACACACATTGATGGAAAACAGAGAATGGATGCTGTACACATCCAGCATCAAGGCTTGATTCTTGGTGGAAGCGATTTCTGTCCTCCCCAAATACTGGGACCATGGGCTGACAATTGGCCGAACAACACACGGAGTCCCTGTTTCGGAGTCCTGCCTGTTCCGTGCCAGTGCTGGGCTTCATCCTGGCTCCCATCTTTGAGCTCCAGTCCCCAAGGACCAGTGTGCTTACCACGCGCGTGGAACACACTGGTGTTTTTGGACGGGAAGGGCACACCAATGTGGTAGATTTCCTGCCGGGGTGAAGGAAAATAAGGTATAAGATGACCTGAGGTTGCTTGTAGCTAAAGTCAAAAATCTCACCCAGTGGCCTAGGCCTGGGGAAGCTGTTTCACATGCGAACATTGACTCTTAAAGGCACTTAAAGCCTTCAAGCTCGGCTCTGACCTCCGCAGGTGCACCTGAATCCTTCACTCCATCGCCGTATACCGCACTCTGATGACCTTGCTATCATAGCCAGGAACAGTGGATAACCTCCAGGAGTCACAAGACGGGGTGGTGTTTAGTCCCATCCAGTGAGTGGAGTAGCTGGGCACCCTTAACCTCCATTAAGCACCCCTTTGTGACTGCTGGCTGAGAAACCTTATAGCTTTTCTTCTTTCCAGGATCAAACGGCTGGGGGCTCAGGCGTGGACCACGCATGGATGGATCAAAGGCCTCCCATCGCCCTTGGTCACCACGAAGGAGGGACAATGTCCTCATAAACACTTAATATGCACCCCCCCCCCAACCAAGTGACATGTGTTCCATCACCTTTTGGCCCCAACCGGCTACGAGTCCACCAACATGCCCAGCTTGGTCTTGGCGTATGTCTTTGGCTTCATGGTCCTGGTCTCCGCCCATGAAGCAGCTGCACGACCGAAGGTGCAGTGTCCGTGGGCTCGCTCGCCGGGGGAGCTGCCTAATCCCCTCCAACGTCTCAAGAATTGGATCCCCATCCTTCCCCATCCTCGTGCTCTTTGGGTCCGTGGGCTCGCTATAGGGCCGGCAAAGAGGCGTGGCCGCACGTGGTTAAAGGATGTTAAAGGGGGGGGTGAAAAGCGATCTCGACCAGGTGACCTACCCGGGCATCTTCTACAAGTCGGTCCTCAGTCTTGGCCGCTCGGAGCCTTCGCCCGCAGCACGGCACGCTGGTCCGAGTCGTGAAACCAACGGAGGGCGGTCAAGGAGCCCTGAAAGGAGGGTCATTCAACCCACACCGGGCTCGGTACCTGGTAGAGTTGACCAAGGAATCGGCGGAATCGGGTGATGGTTCTCGAACGGAGTGAATTCCCTGGCATTGGGACGTGTTTGGTGTTCTCGCGGTTACTGACTTGAGATCCAAGATTGGGTCATGCTTGAACTTGAGGGAGTCTGCAGAAACAAAAAGACCCATGCGTGTTCTGACACCAGTTGGGTGCTGTTGCACGCCTGCTTTTGCAGTACTTCAACTGGTCGTCTCCTGGATATTCATGCATCGTACTTCTCCCGAAAAAACACGGTTCAACACGCCATACATTGCCATACCAGACCAATATAAACCTAATCATGTGTTTGACCTGTTGGGTGATTCAAACCACGGAGGGTCCGGGGTCCCACGCGACGAAACCCCGGACGAAACTTGTTTTGCCGACGCGAAACCGGTTTCGAGGCTCGGCGCTGTTGCTCAGCGGCCTGCTTCTACTCTTCATTGTTCAGCCAGCTGGGGAGCCATGAACGAGGCCCCGGTGTTGGTAGAGGAAAAGGATCGTCCAAGGGTTCCATGTTCTACTTCCATGATGATTCCATAGGGAGTTATAGCCGGAGTTCAAAGGGTTATGAGTTGTGACCGGTCAGCAGAATCCATCAGAATCCCAGTGGTTGCTGTGGTCACGAGACTGTGAAAGAAATAGCAAAGAAGTGAAGCACTGGCATGATGTAGAAAAAGGATTCCGACTTCAATCATCCATTCTCATCCACTTCACTCTATTCCATTCTCACCAAACAAATTCAAAGCACGGAAATGCACTGAATGGTGTGATTCAAGACTTAGACCTTTTAGAATCAGATCCAGATCCAGTGTGCAACAACTCAGTTTAGCGTTTCGCCCGTATCTACATGTCTCTAGGATCCCAAGTTCACACCTTTCCAATGTCCGAGTCGACTGGTGATACACCAAGTCAACTAAAACTACACTCTGATCCACTAACATGGAAGTGAAAAGCCCGCTGTTGGTAGAGGAAAGTCGTCTTCCAAGTGACCATGCCATCCACTTCCATGTGATGTGTTCGTCAGAGGGTAGGGGCAATGTCATGATATCTTGGATCAGTTGCCACGTCTCCCACCGAGCCGTCTGACTGTACCCGGCTCTGCGGACCCAGCCGTCCCGACGTCGGTCGACACGACGTACCGAGGACCCGTGGTACGACGCCCAGTACGTGATCCCTTTGGCGGCGCGAACGACGGGGTCAAGGGTGTGCGGCTGACAGCAGCTTTCACGGAAGGTAGAGGCTCTGAAAAAGCACTTACAGTATGTAAACGGTCTTCAAGTTCTTGCTTGTGTTGCAAGAATAGAAAAGTTAGAAGACACCCTTTGTTGAATCTTTATGTTCTTTGGGAAGAGAGCATTCCCATCTTTTGAGCTTGCATGTCAGGCGCTTTGTTTCTCTCAATAGATCTATATATAGATTGGTCCTGGAGTCCTGCAGCAGATTTTAGAGCTCCAATCCGAGCATGGTGGGCAGTCGGTTGCAGGGAATGCTCATCAACAACAGCCTTTCGGGTGTGGCATTGGCCTTGAATGCCATGATCGATCACCTCCACAACAACAAAGAGCAGGCCTGGTAGGTCTACGGGCTGCGTTTACGCAGCACTGCTCCTGCGTTTTGGTGGATGGAAGTTGAAGAGCTGCACCCCCAAATCGTGGAGAGTAGTGGAAAGTTCTCTTCAGATCGTCTGCATGTTTTTGCGAACGAAGTGAGTATTCAGAACTACAGGGGCTAGCGATGGCCTCCAACCTGTGATTCTACAGTGCAATCGGCTCATGAAATCCTCCAATCATGAATGATTGAACCTTTGCTTGGAATACTATCTGGGTATCTTTGGCACGATGTTTCTAAGTGCTTTCTGTAGGTTCCAAAGTTCTGGGTTCTGCACAAAAGGGACACAACCGTTTGCTCCTGAACTTTCACTCTTGCCATTTTTGCGGTTGTGTTCTACAACACTTCAAGTGGCAGATTACTCACGTATTTGCGCGTGTGAAGCATGGAAGGCCATGTCATGTGCGGACCGAAAAGTGGAATCTAAGAGGGGGACTGTTGCCCAACTTATGCAGAGAAAGCAGCTGTTGGCTTTGTCCACAACATTTGTTGACCTGCTCAAGAACTGGTTTGTCATTCCTTCCCCCCACCGTGGTGTTGAATACTTGCGATATTTTCCAGGGGGTTGTGCAAGTAAGGTTGGACTTCACCAGAGAAGGTGCTGTCGCTTGCTGTTGGGAGAAACTCAACCCAGCGTTGTCGTGTTTCTTGCGCCGCGGCTTATGCCAAGGCAACCTGATTCAGGGTTGTGGAGGGAGACCATGCGGTGGTAAACCCTGGACACTTACCGGTGTTTTTACCTTCTTTGGGTGAGTTTGTGAGAAAACATGGAAGTCTGTGTTTGCGGACGATGGCAATCAGAGCCACATTGCTTATTTTTGCTGCTGGTCTGGTGCTGCTGCTGGTTTGCTGCTGACGAGGGGCTGGTGTCCTGCTGATCTGCTGCTGGCGTGCTGGTGTACTGCAACGCCACTTGTTTGCTGAAGCATGCTTATGGGTCGCTTCGGGCAATGTCTTTGGAGACCTTTGTCGAGGTGCTTTCATTTACAGCCTCTTTTTTCTATTTCTGCTTGGTCAACTGCTGCTTGCTTCTTACCTTGTCCTAGGACCTGCATTCTGGTGTCCATTGGATGTTGTTTTTTCCCTCATTTTGTTGGGATGGGTCCTAGAACCGGGTAGCTCAGCGAGTGCAACTACTTCAGCAAGCACTCCTTCAGCTTGTTTGCCATTCTTAGAAGTGTCTGAATTTGTGAAAGCTCAACGGTAGATCCTGGCCAGTCCGAATCTTCACTACTGGGTGTGCTGCAGTCCGAACCAACCTTTCGACTCCGCAGGCCACACACATTGCAGGTCCGGAGTGGGGGCCCCCCGGGGGTCGGGTCCGCTGTGGAAAGAACCCCTGTCCGACGACGTCAGGTGGAGGTGCTTCTGGCCTTTGGAGCGACGTTGCGGGGCCCAGCGTTGGGAGAGCGGGAGTCCAGACGTTGGGGAACCACAGGCACGAAATTGGAGCGCGTGAGGGTTCATGCGGCCCATGTTTTTGGTGTTTCGTTTTCTATTTTTTTCAATTTTAAATCGGAGGGGTATTTATTTTTGGATTTTTTTTGTTTCTTTTTTGGATTTTTTTTTGTTTTTCGTGGCTTCTGGCTTCTGGCTTCTGTGGCTTCTGGCTTTTGTGGCTTTTGGCTTCTGTGGCTTCTGTATTTGTCTATACCTATCTATTTATCTATCTTTCTTTCTTTCTTTTGGCAGCTGTTCTCCTTTCTCTTTTTGTATTTGCTTTTCCTGTTGTTTTCGTTGCAGAGACGAAAC